CACCTCTTTTCTGGTCCATCGACCAATCAAAAAGCTCTCAAATGACCCGGAAGTCGACCCATTTAAATGTGGCAACTTCCCAGTCTAGCTGCTGCGCTCAAGATTGAGATTGAGTTCAACATGGGAGTTTTCAGAGCTTGAAAGTTTTCCTGGAGAAGAGTTCCAGACTTTAACTCTCTGAAGAGAGTTAAAGAGTTCAGAGTTCTTGGATGCTAACGCAGGCGTCCAGAATGCTTCTATTGGAATACAGAATGCAGTGACGATTTTGGGAATTATAATTTCTGTTTGGATAACCTCGCACGACTCTCGAAGTATTTTAGCTGCTCTCAACGGAGACGCTGAAAGAGTCAAAGGAAGGATTCTATACCGACGCTGACCTATCGTCAACCAGGTAAAAGTTCTACTTCGACCAAGCGTACCGTGAACAGCTGATAACTGAAGGAGCGTGCACGTTTCTGGTCAAACAGATTAATTCCCTCACACATCTCTCTGTAAGATAAATCTCCATTTTCCATCTTAAACTCTCCTTTCTCCTAAAATCATTACAGATATTTTAGAAATATCTGAAGCAAAGTTCTCAATCACCGCCGTGTGATTGATGTCTGCTGTTCTGCTGAGAAGTGAGGACAATCTCCGTATTGTTCCAACTTTCTGTGAAACTAGCCATGTTATTGTTTTCATATTCTGCCAAATTAATGTAAATGTGTGATGTTAAACTTTGATTCTGCAAATAAATGACCGCATTCATTTTGATGGGTCAAAGGTAAATAACGTCTCTCGTTACATTTCTGTTAAACTCAATGCACGCATTTACACAGTCAGAAAAATGAAGAACCCGTCTTAAACAGTATGAATATATCCTGCATATGTCATACTACACTGCCGACAGAGGAACAACTGAAGACGTGGGACCCACCGGGGCCGTGGACTCATCAGAGACTGCAGGAGATTTAAAAACTACGGAGACTGCGGTAGGCCTGGAAGCGACCACAGGGCTGCAGCAGTGAAGTCCACTGGTGGCAGAGCAGGAAACCTTGAGGGCGTGGAAGCCGTCATGGAGTGTGCCAGGTAGGAGCGAGGCGATCTCCTGTCCCACTCTCTTTTCTCTCGATGCGCAGTTCTTTCTGTGTTACTTGAAAAACACTCAAAAAAGTGGAGCTGCTTGCTGGGTCTCTTTGATGAGGGGAGCATTCTGTCACGATCGGGGGGTGGTTGAGACCCAAATGCAAGCAGGACTCCAACAAGGTCACAAAAAGGCGTTTTAATCACAAAAAGGCAACAATAACAAATAATGCTGTCGGGGCAGCGATACTACTTACATTCGTAGGAGAAACATGAAATACCAAGGCACTAGGAGACGACCGTGAAGATGCAGCTTAAGCACCTAATGCTCCCCTGCCTGAGATGCAGAAGAGCATAGTATATAAGGGGGAGTCTCTAATTAAAACCAATACATAGCACCTGAGAGTCATTAACTATCTGCACAGAGCAGGGCAGGTGCCGATCCCTACAAATATGGCATTTAGCATGATTAAAACATACGCTGCAGCTATCTCTTCTTGTCACAAAAGTTTTTGGGGACAGAACAGCTTTTAATCATATGCTGATGAAACGTTTTTTAAAAAGTGTACAGAGACGCAGGCCTGTTTTCACGCCCACTTGCTCCACAGTGGGATTTAACGCTGGTCCTGCGAACCCTGATCAAAGCTCCATTCGAGCCACTAGATCAGGTTCCGATTAAATTTTTGTCTCTTAAAACAGCCCTGCTATTGGCTTTAACATCCGCTAAGAGGGTGAATGATTTATCTGCCCTCTCTGGTGTTCCGTCATGTCTCAGAACTCAGGCTGATGGCTGCTCAGCTGATCTGAGGCCTAATCCAGCGTTTATGCCTAAAACATCACAAGCTCTTTTAAATCAAGAGCGATATTGTTGGAGGGATTTTTTCCCTCCCCAAAATCAGAAGAAGAAGCATCTTTCCATCTTCTCTGCCCTGTACGTGCGTTGACATGTTACGTAACACGCACGGCAGCATTGTGTCAGACTCAACATTTGTTTGTGCATTATAGAGACGCATCTGCAGGTCGCCCGTTACCCATCCAGCGCCTGTCACACTGACTGTGTGAGGCCATTTTTGAAGCCTACGGAGCATCAGATTTAGATCCTCCTGACAACCTCAGGGCGCACTTGACCATCTTCGACTGCTTTGCATAATGGTATGACAATGCAGGATATTTGCACTGCGGCCACGTGGTCAACACCCTGCTCATTTATTCGCTTTTATTTACGTGAAGTGTCGGCTTGTTCCATGACGCATTCTGTCCTTAGTGCCTTAACAGAATGAATATTGTTGTTTCATGGAATCTCGTTTAAACTCACATCTGACTGCATGCATTTACAGTATGAGATGTTGTTATCAGTCACAGGGTGTGACTGCTTTTCTTGTTCTATTGTCATTAATCAGTTCATGAATATTGTTACCAATCAGTTCATTTGCTTAATAATCAGTTAATTTATTATTAATCTGTTCATGTTGAAGAGCCGTGGATCTGCTCTGTTCATAGCCTTTTTCAGCCTCTCCTCTTTTCTGTTGAAAACCTTTCTGGGGCGTTCATGCACTCGGAGCGCGTAAACTACGCAGTGCGCCTCTGTGCATGGTGAGCGTAATTATGCAATGCGTATTTACGCACATGGAGAGCTGAGTGACAAGATGTTATTTTTGGGCAAGCGGGCACTTCTTATGGTGTTTGAATGGACCCAGTGAGGCAGAGACTACATCTTCTTCGCCCTTAACCCACCAGTGACAGCTCTTAAAGGGCAAAGCCTATACAAAATAGAATGTTGGTTACGTACTGTAACCCCAGATTCTATGAGTATAGGTGTAGCCCTTTAAGCGTCGGGCCTCACTGGCTCCTAAATGGCTGAAGAAAAAGCTATTTGGGAGCCGATTACACGCTCTTAACGTAATTTATACGGACCGGGTGGGGCCCACACAACAGGTGGGCGTGGACTAAATTTTTTCAATGCAATGCTTCGCATGACGGTATAAACCCACCAGCGACAGCTCTTAAAGGGCTATGCCTATACTCATAGAATCTGGGGTTACAGTACATAACCAACGTTTCAGCAGACACAGACATGCATCATGGATCGGAAATCTCTGCAGGCTGGATCGGAAAAATCCTATAAATAAATTATGCTGGTATCGGACACCGATACTGATACCGGATCGGATCGAATTGGCCCCATCCCTATTTTAAACATGGGGTATTTTTCATTCAAGACACTTAAATAACAAAATTTTTATTTCAACTTCCAAAAATTGCAGTTTTGAGAAAATGAACAGTATCAAAATCTACTTAAAAACTTTACCTATTCACTTAATGAACATAATAAATGTATCGCCACTCCTTCAAATTATTACAGAAAACTCCTTACATAAAACTATACCATACCATACCAATTTATTTATATAGCACTTTAAACAGTGACAAAGCACACCAAAGTGCTGTACAGGGACAAACAGAACAAGCACACAGCAACAGATTACATAACAGGACACCAAAAAGTAGAAACCAACAAAAACAATAATGGATAACAACAACAACCGCAACATGACCAACACAGTGTGATGCACACAGACTCAGCACAGATCACACAGTGCTGAAAGCCAAGGAATAAAAGTGTGTTTTTAAGCGAGATTTAAAAACTGTGAGGGAGGGAGCCTGTCTAACGAGCAGAGGTAACTCATTCCAAAGTCTTGGGCCTGCTACAGAGAAGGCCCTGTCACCTCTGCGCTTGAGACGAGTTCCTGGGACTGTTAGGAGCAACTGGTCTGCTGAAAACTGAACAGAATATTAACAATATCATAATAACAACCGTAGTTATACAAAATAACAGGGCTTAAATTGTAAACTGATCGATGCCGGAACGCAAATAGCGGGCAGACCGGTGGGGTGTGTGGGGATGCTCCCCTAGAAAAGTTTGAATAAAGTAGATGTGATTTCCTGCCTTTATTTTTATTTTTTATTTTTTTTGCTGTATTTATACCTGCTTGTAATTTTTTTTTTTATTATTATTTTTATTTTTATTTTTTTGCGGACCCCAAAACACCAGCTCACGGACCCCTGGGGGTCTGGGGACCCCAGTTTGAGAACCACTGACCTAATCGACGCAACCTTATCAACAAAATGCCTGACAAAATGATTACAAGCATCTACAGAAGCCTCGGTGCTGACAGACTGAGGCACATTTAAAATGGAGTTCATGATGTTAGAAAGAACACTGGGATTGTGACTATTTGAGGCAATAATAAATAACGGACGTGGAAAAATATTTTTTTGTTTTTCTAATTTAATAGTGGTCTCATAGGCTTTCCAACGTGTTTGTAACATAATAAAAGAGACCTGTAGTTTGTCCTTCTTCCATTTGCACTCAAGGTTCACTGACCTCACTTTTAAATCTCACCCACATCCTCCAGAACTGCTTTATAAAAATTCCTTTAATCTTGGATTGTGTATTTTTATGATTTCCTACAACTTATACTTGAAGAGAGTTTCACAGCAGGTGCAATCTGCTTCTGAAGCCGTTTGGCCTGTGATGAATAAAATCAACAACTTAAAGCTTGCTCTCTGGAAACAACATGCCGTTCCATCCCAAGTTGAATTAAAGAACATTTCCAACATTTGTGCTGTTTCTTTATCCGTTACGGATGTAAAACTCCAACGTGGGCAGAATGAGTCCTTCCGGTGTTTCAGTGCTTTAAGCACACTATTCTCAAAATTGATGAACAATTTTCTGAACTCGGGGTTTTGCAGTGGAGGTGTGGTGATAAGCAGCACGCCGACTTGTCATCATTTCCAAGTAGAGCTGATGAATGATGCATGTCAGCACCTGCAGGACTCGCAGAAAGGTGTGCTGTGATTGGCTGGGAGCAGCAAGAACAAAAGGTCACCTGGTGGAAAGACAAAACTGGGCTGAATGAAGGGAAGACATCAGTGTCGCTCTGAGAGGATCTGCCGTTGAAACATGCGACTGGTGGCTCTGGTTGTGGTCTGGGCGCTGGTTGTTGGTGAGGATGGAGGTAGTGTTGGAGGGGCTACGTTTGGACTCGGTTCTGCTCTGAAAACCCGAAGAACAGGTAGGCTCAGTTTAGTTTGATTCCATCAATCTCGCAACAAAAATACAAATGTGGCAAACTTGACAGAAATTAAATCCAGTTTTATGAACGGTGATCGAAAATACAAAGAATTTAAAATTATTTGTCCTCTCAGCTGAAGTGCGTCATTATTTCACAATTTCTTTGAAATTCTCTTTAAATTTGGATGTTTTCATAACTATTATAATTTCATAATAATGCTTTCATAACACTTTAGTCCTGCTTTACGTTAAACCAGCACTGTCTGTTTTAATTCAGCTGTAGTCTTTTTTTTCTAGATGAGGAAAAAATGAAAACAGAAGAATGGTTTCAGGAAAATACATTTCATGTAACATGCTGGATGTAATCTGGGTTGGATGCTGAAGTGACCATTTTTAAAATTAAAGTATAGATTTTAAAAAGGAATTTGATTTAAAACAAGGGAATTTTGTGGTGAATTGGTGAACTGGGTTGCCAGTGAAATGCAAAGACAGAGCGATTATGTTTTTGCCCTAGTCTATCTGTTAGCAAAATATTTCACAAACAACCTGACAAATTTTTTATGAAACTTGTAAAAAGTAATAACTGTATGCACATCTACAACTGATAAACTTGTGAAGTCAACCCAATAAAAGACGGATGCTAAAACAGACAAATTAAAAATACATATTAATTGCTATAACTCGGTCAATTTTGTAGATATTGAGCTAAAATTTGTTAGGGTAGTAGCTGAGAATCATCCCCAACATATATAGTCTGGAGTGATGCCTCAGTGTTTTTTAAGATTTGATCAAACAGCCAGACTCTTATCATTTATCCACTTAAGCTGATTTAGTTGGAAACTTTATGCATCTCTTCAGGGAACCTTTAACTACTAATAAAGAAGAACTGGTTCCAGAAGGTATTTTAAGTAAAGCCTTTTGATTTGGTCTGTAACTCAAGTTGTCCTTCTGTGCTGATGCGTCTCCTGGTTTCTCCTCAGAGGTGGTCCTCCCACTCCTCAGGAGGAGACCTGGCAGAGACCTCCAGGCCGAGGAGTCCAACCTGTGCTTCTCCCTGAGGGAGAATGAGGACCAGCGGCAGCTCCTGTGCAACGACCGCCGCAGTCAGTTTAACTACAACCCGTTCGGCCTCCGCTTCGGGAAGCGCCACAACGGCCCTCCTCACAGAAGAGCCAGCAGAGAAGGGAGGAGCAGGAGGTTCTCCCCTCTCTCCCTCCTTTCACGGGAGTTGGAAGTGCCCACATAAAGCAGAGAGAAAACTTATGATTCGTGGTGTAAAAAGGCTTTGACTTCAGATACAAATGTTTTCTCCTAATAAAACTTTTGGACTCGTCGGTTTATGTGAAATTATTTTCAAATGTTTTTGAAGAAATGAGAAGCAACATCCAACCTGAAGAGCAAAACTCATTACACATTTAGCCTAGCTGCTTAAACATTCAGTACGAGAAACTTATATTCAACAGATAAATGGTAAATGGACTGTACTTATATAGCGCCTTTCTATCTTATTTCAAGATACTCAAAGCTCTTTACAACAATCTGTGTCTCATTTACCCATTCATACAGCACTCTACTAGATCTCTACAAAGCTAATTGAACAAATCATTCTAAACAGACTAATCAGTGGTTTATCACATTCATACACTGATGGGACTCACATCAGAGGCAACGAGGGATTCAGTGTCTTGCCCAGGAACACTTCGACATGTGACTGCTGGTGGATTCGAACCCCCAACTCTCGCAATGGAGGACAACTGCTCTAACCACTCAGCCACAGCCGCCCCAAATGTTTTATAATCGTGACCTCTCAGAATGTCTTGTTACAGTGCACGTTTTGTCTTTCGCACAAGTTTTTATTTCAGTTTGAACAACACCCGATGTCAGACGGTGCATGTTAAACTCGTGTTGGGCATGAACATCACATTTATGTCAGGATTTAAACGATCTCTTTGAAACTTGTGGCATGGTGGTGCAATTGGTAGAAATGTCGCCTCAGCGAGAATGTCGCTGAATCGAATCCTGGCTGTGGGGCCTTTCTGGGTGGAGTTTGCATGTTCTCTCCGTGCTGCATGGGTTTTCTCCAGTTTCCTCCCACAGACCAAAAACATGCAAGTTAGACTGATTGGTAACTAAATTGTCCCTAGGTGAGAGAGAGAGAATGGTTGTTTGTCTCCATGTGTCCCTGTAATGGACTGGAGACCTGTCCAGGGTGTCCCCCGCCTCTCACACAGTGACTGCTGGATATGGACACCAGTGACCTCCATAATCCGAAAAGGAAGAAGTGGTTAAAGCTAATGAATGAATTAATATACAACTTCAATATAAAATAAGAACAGTTTGAATGTATTATGGATTTTCTCTAATTGCCGTTGATATTTGCTCAAATATCTAATAGCAAGTTTCACCTGGACCTCAGGGTTTGTATGGAGTGCAGCATGGAGCAGAGTTAAGAACTTCAACCTTTCTCTCGAGGCAGCTGCAACGCACTGCTCCATCTAATCTGGGCAACAAGTTGAATTAAAGAACATCTGTGCTGTTTCTTCACCCATCACTGAAGTAAAACTACAACCTGGGCTGAACGATGCACTCTGTTTGTTTCTATGCTTTAGTCCAGGGCTGTTCAATTGGTGGCCCCCGGGCCAAATCAGGCCGTCAGGTGAGCTCAGTTCGGCCCATCAATGGGTTCATATTTAAATAAAATTAATTTTAAACCATAAAACAAACTTTATGACAACTGCTGGATGTCTGGCCCTTGAGCAGTTTAGCTGAACTGCCCTGCTGCAGTCATTAAATATTAAAATATGACCACGATATTTGACCACGTCGTGTTTCTGTGAGCTTTCACAGATCTTTTCTTTTACACGTTCAGGCCCACACCTCCACTGAAACATAGATCTGTGGTGTCAGTGGGATTTTTCTGGGTGAATGGTGATAAACAAATGAAAACACGTCTCCAGTTATGAATTAAAAATACTCCCCCGGTGTGAAGCATAACGTCCATTTACGGAGTAAAGTCCAACTGCTTTGTTTTTAATATTCATCACGTCCTGGATGACCGAACACCAACATGTTGAACCATGTTTGACTCATATTGATCATTTTTATTGACATTAGGTTTATACAACTACATATAGACATTATTATGGATCGCAATGTTTTTACACCAACACTGGCACATGATTATTGTAAATTACCATAATAGTGAACCAGAGGGCGAACTTCTCCCGACAGCATTTTTCTGAGGCCGAGACTTTTTCCAACTTTAGGTCAGTCATGATCACAAACAGGAAATCAGTGGTCCTTGGCCATGCCAAACTCGACACAAGACCATTTTTTTTACATTCAGCACCATTTCTCAAAAAGATTTATGTTGAAGGTTATGTATCTAGTATCAGAGAATGTGTGGATTAGAAGAAAATATGCCTCACAGTCCTGATGGGGGTGTTGTTAAGAATTTATTCTAACATGCAAGAAACAAACCTGAAATGTACAAAAAAAAAAAAAAAACACGGAGCTCTTTCTGATGATTTATTAAAGCCACACGTTGATGTTACCAGCAAAGCTGATTGTCACGTTTCACTGAGTTGACAGTAAAGTTACAGACAGACGAAGGTCAGGTACAATCTAATGCAAATTTTAGGGTTCTTTCAAACCAGACAGCTCCCTCGAACAGATAAAAACTGGAGCAGAAAGGAAGGAGCTCATCAGGAACAGAAACTAAGCACAGATCAACTTCCACCTGCTAACACAAACAAGTTCTAAAGAAGGTGGGGGGTTAAACAGGTCTTATTAGAGGAAATATATCAGTGACTTTTAGACTGAATGGAGCAGCTGACTGGCAGGGTCAGATTTAAAATACACTCATATGATCCTTCAAAAAGACCCGTACAGTCAGAGAAGAGCAGAAAAAGAGCGGGGCGACAGGACTCTCTCATCACAGGTCCTTCAGGTCCTTCTGAATCCCCCACAGTGTGTCAGCACTCTTCTTCAACTGGCCCACCTCGTCGGCAGTCAGGGTCATGTTGACAACAGAGCAGACGCCACTGCTGTTCAGAACACACGGCAGAGACAGAAAGACCTCCTCACCGATACCGTACATGTTCTGGAAACACAAAAAGACTAAACTCAAACTGTGCCCAGTACCAGAGAATCATGAGGTGACCCGCACTGGGCCGTTTTCTATCCGTGGATGGTTGTCAGACCTTGACCATGGTGGAGACAGGGTGGACCCTGCTCAGGTTCTTCAGGATGCTCTCAGTCAGGTTGGCCACACTCATCCCGATGGCCCAGTTGGTATAACCCTTCAGCCTGATTACTTCATAAGCACTGAAACACAAAATGGTATTGGGTCAAAATATAAGTTCAGTACATATAAATACACTGCTCCCTGGATAAATACAGTAGATTTAACAAAGATCCCTGAAAGAAACTTATGGAGATCTGAGATAAAAGATACATGCAAAGCATTGAAAGGGCTACATGTGAAAGAAAAACAATCCTGTGCCCCAGTTTCAGTTCAATTCTTTGCCCCTTGAGTCCCTAAACTGAGTTGACTCAGCTCTGTAGAGGAGTGCTGCTCAGCTGTTGTTCAGTCATCACAGAATAGGGCTGGGCCATATCATGTCGTTCACGATAACACTGGTAAAAAAAGCTTGCCCGGGAAAATAAATGATACCATGATATGCTAATTTCATGACGTAAATACATCAGTGTTTCCTCTACCATTATACAAAAGGGAGCCCTGCCCCGTTAACAGAACCAAGCACGCCGAACTACGAACCGCGCACCCACCCTCCCACCTGTCGGTACTGACGTAATGCTAATTAACTGTGCGCAATACTAGCTAGCTAAAAAGCTTGGCTGTGTCTCTCCACCCAGCTGTAAGCTGCCGGTACAAACAGGTGCAGCTCAGCTGTCTCTTAGTTCCACAGTGCATGGAGCAAGAACAGAGTCAGGTGATCAGAGACAGAGCATCAGAGAAATGAATCATTCCTGCAGGAACAGAGGAAGCTGAAACACCAACAAGCTTCAGGGTCAGATGATCACCTTGTTACAAGTTCTGGAAGTTGTAGCTCATTTAAAGGCAACATATATTTTGTTGTATGTTACATTTATGCTCAACAGATCTCAAGCTTTAATTTTATTTAGTTATTTTGGGAAACTTCACCTGCACTTTAGTTTCTGTGGTGGATTTATTGATCTATATTTTGTGCAGACTTTTTCAATTTAAATAACAGAAGGATCTTTTTTTTATTTTTAAACTTGGAGACTGAATACTTTATTAAATAAAGTAATCTCAGTAAAATTAACCCTTGTTGTTTCTTTAATTTTTATATAATACTGCAAAGCAACATGTTAAGTTAATTTTGTCAAATGAATCACCCAGAGTCCAAGAGTTTTCAGTCGGGTCATCTGGACAGTTTCTTTTTTGTTGTTGTTGTGCTCTTATCACAAACAAAACTAGTCTGTTCCACCCTGGAGCAAGCTGTTGGGGGGGTGCTGATTCTTCCCCCAGCAGCTTGCTCCAGGGTGGAACAGACT